CGATCCATCGTTTTATCGTTATCGTATAAGTGTCGATGACACGGCTTCGATATCATTTCCTCGAAAGCCTTTACGCTCACGTAAAAGAAAAAAAAAAAAAAAAAACGTATACAAAACTACGGTTCTTTAGTTACTATTTCTCGCGTAGAAAGAAGGCGCGCGCCAGGCGGGTCGCCTGGCTTTGTTAAAAGAAAAGAAGAAAAAAAAAAATAATTGTTACAAATTATTATACGTTCGTACACGCGCATCAAGTTAATTTTATTTTAAGGTAGTAGACTTTTTCGTCCCTTTTGTATCCAGTTCGATAATCCTTTGTCCTTTTTTTTTTTTTTTTTTTTTTTTTTTTTTTTTATATACATATATATATCAACATCTCGAAGATATATTTTTTTTTTTTTCCTAGTGTTGTTCTGACTATTGTAACCCGTGTTACTGCTACTATTATTATTATTTACTACGCAACTACTATCATCATTAGACAGACAACTACAACTATTACCGCAATCATTAGGAGATACAATGTTAGTTTATCATTTTTATTATCTTTATTTTTTTCGTACTATTAGTTACTATTACTACTACTATTATTATTATTACCATTATTATTACGTTTAGTTATATTATTAATTATTATCACTATCATCATCACAATATCACAATGCACATCGTGAATCACCGTTAAGTTTAAAAAACAAAAAAAAAAACGTCCACTTTTGTTTTCGTTGCAACGTTTTTGACCGTCGTTGGTTGATTTTCTTTTTTTTTTTTCTTTTTCTTTTTTCCTTTTATTTTCGTTTTTCTCGAAGATTTGATCTTTTTCTTTTTCTTTTCCTTTTTTTTTTTTTTTTTTCTTCATCTCCTAGTGTGGTTCCTTAAAAAACTGTCGACGGTTCGCTATCGACGGTTTCCTAGAAACTAGAACACGTTTCTCTTTTCCCCTTTTACCCGGTTTAAGAATGGGGAATAGCATCGCGATTAATGATAAATAAAACAAATCTCTGAAATACGCTGACGATTGTCATACACGAAAAATTTAGGACATGTGCATTTATTAAATATTATTATCGTTACCTATTGTTCCGTGGTTGGAAACGTGGTTGGAAGTGCAAAAGATTCGACGATTTCCACGGATTACGGGATACGGATAGAGAAATATTGGAAATGGAATCGAAAAATATACATCCCTCTCCCCGTGGATTTTACGATTTTTCGACTCGTTATCTTTTTCTCTCGCACCTCCAATTACTTTCGCCACGTTAATTAATTAATCGCTATTTAGTTTTTCTTTTTTCCCTTTCATTCATAGTTATTGCTATTAATAATTATTATTATTAATACCACTATTATTAGTTATCGCCATCGATTCTTATTAAATGCGAGCCTACTTACTGTAGATCGGCGAGCGAGGTAACTGTTTCGATCGCTTCTCGTCTCGTTTTCTCAAAAAAAAAAAAAAAAGAAAAGAAAAGAAAAGAAATGGAAAAGAGCGCTGTTGTTATCTTTCACGACGAAAAGTTTAATCGATAATCAATCGTAGTATGTAAAAAAAAAAGAAAAAAGAAAATAATATCTGTATGAGAACTGTAACCGCGTCGTGATCAAGGTAACAATGAAATGCGAACAACGTTGCAAATAGAGTAAATAGTTCGTGAACAGCGCCGGTTCGCGCAAAAAAAAAAAAAAAAAAAACACGAGCTACTTTACCACCGATCGAGACGAGAAGGAGAAAACGTGCGATTGAAAGGAAGAATGTAATTTCCGAGGAAGGGTTAACATCTGGAGTGCGATAACGAGCTAAAAAAAAAAAAGAAAAAAAAAAAGAAAAAAAAGTTAGAAAAAAAAAGATTAAAAAAAAAAAAAAAAAAAAGTTAGAAAAAAATCCGTTAAATTTATTTGCGATCCGCGATGACGTCGTCGAGGTTTACGAATCGACGTCGTCCTCGACGTGTCGAGAACCGATTACACCGTTCGAAGAAAGCCGTAATGTACAAGAATCCTCGAAGCGCCGCGTACGTAGTCGAAACAGCGTTTACAATTTCGAATTTCGGAAATGGTCGACGCGCCAGAAAAAAAAAGAAAAAAGAAATTTCAAAAGTGAAAAGTAATAATCTAGAAAATGTAATAATAAATAATCCCTGAGAGAAACAAGCGAAGAGAGAGATAAATAATAGATAGAGGAAGAGAACGAGCGAGCGAGAGTGAAAGCGAGAGAGAGAAAGAGAGGGAGAGAGAGAGAGGGAGAGAGAGAGAGAAAGAGAGAGAGAGAGCGAGAGAGAGAGAGAGAGAAGAAAAGGGCAAAGAAATAGGGAGAAAAAGGATATAATAAAAATAAATAAATAAATAAATAAATAAATGAAATAAAACGAAGAAAACGTTTTATAATGTCGAAATGAATGTGTAATTCAACAGTCTCTTTCGGTTACGAGCAAGTTCCGCATTGTGTAGGATTTCTCATAAATGGTTCTATGTATGATGATACATGTGATGCAATATCTAGGAG